AGATTATTAAGCGAATACCATCCACTTATTCGCTGTATGTAAGTACACATGTTCATATGTGCATACGGCTGTACGTCGAGTAAGAAGCATAGACGCGCGTTGTCCAATTACACTGGTTTACAGCAAAAATGTTTTATGGTTGCCACTATCCAATTCCGAAAATCAAGTTAATTTCTTTTCTATGGGTGAGCTTTTGAGATACAAATTTTCAATTTACCGTTATAATAAGGAGTACGGAAAATAAAAGATAACAAAATTTTCCATAAACCGTGTATTCATACCTTTTCGATAGGCCTAATAGTTTCTAAGAAATTAATTAATCATTCCAGATGTTTTGCTTTTTGATGAAAAAATTTCAACTTTAACAGGGAAAAACTTAAAAAGATAACATATTCTGTGTAAATTTTTTACTTTTGCGTTAACGCCTGTTCTGTTACAAAAAAATGAAGCTACCAACAAAGGAAATCAATCGATAAATAAGAAAGGAATAAGTGGTCAAATGAAAATGCGCGAAGAGATTTTTTGTATGAAAAATGAGCAGGAAAGAATGTTACGCATACGCCATGTACACCCGAGTAACACTCTTTTCTGATCATATTTCATACAAAAAATGTACGTGATTTAGTGGAACAATTTTTTTAAGTTGAATAACGGTAAATTGCAAAAATCTCGAAAAATTAACCATAGAAAAAAAAATTAACTTGATTTTAGGAATCACCGCGCAATTCTTCATAGGAATTGGATAGTGGCATCCGGTGAACAAAAAAAAATATAACAAACATTTGTGATCCAGTGTTATCATTTAATAAATTAGATTCGCTGTATCTCTGGTATGATAGCCTAAAATTGATATACATATTTACATATATGTAATTAATCGCTAATTCATGCTTCGGAGGTGTTCGTCAGGCTGATGGATTAAAAAGGTGAAAAATAGCATACAGGGAAGTGGAGTATATTCAAATAAATTTTTCAAGTTTATTAATTGATTGCCCGCATTTTCAACTTAAATTTATAGATTTTGTAAATTTTTCTTGTTTTTCACTAGATGCAATTTTGTTTAGTACATAATAAAGTTGGGCACTTTAGTTCTTTTGACTGAACCGTTCAGTTGTAGTTCGTTCACTTTAGTCAACTAGTTCTTTAGTTCATTTAGTTCAATTGACGAATTATCATACATATTACATACAAAACAAAAACTTTGGTAATTT